AATATTTTCCTACTTTAATAGCTCATGTTCTTGTAACAAACTCTTAAGGTTCAAACTTCGTGGTGTGTGTGTGCCGGCCCTGGGGCTTGCTTGAACTCAGCACCTGGGCACTGTCCCTGAGCTGCTTTTGGCTCAAGGCTAATGCTCTACCATTTGAACCATTTCTGCCTTTTCTGAGCAGTTTATTAGAGATAAGAGTCTCACAGTCGGGCACCAGTGACTCACACCTGTAATCCTAGCTACTCAAGAGGCTGAGACCTGAGGATTGCTGTTCAAAGCCAGCCGGGGCAGGAAAGTCTGTGAGACTCTTATCTTCAATAAACCATTCAGAAAACTGGAAGTGGCGCTGTGGCTCAAGTAGTAGAGCGCTAGCCTAGAGCTGAAGAGCTGAGGGACAGCGCCCAGGCCCAGAGTTCAAGCCCCATGACCCACAACAACAACAACAAAAGGGTCTTACACACTTTCCTGCCCAGGCTGGCTGGCTTTTGAACCATGATCCTCAGATCTCAGCCTCGTAATTAGCCAGGATTACAGGCATGAGCCACTAGCACCTGGCCTAAGATTCAAACTTTCATTTCTTAAAATGTCTGTAAAGACATTTTGTATTGTAAAATTTCATAGATTTCTTTTGGGGGGGGGGTCAGTTGAAGGCTTGAGCTCTGGGCCTGGGCGCTGTCCCTCAGCTCTTCAGCTCAAGGCTAGTGCTCTACCACTTGAGCCACAGCGCCACTTCTGGCTTTTTCTGCTTCTGTGGTGCTGAGGAATCGAACCCAGAGCTTCATACATGCAAAGCAAGCACTCTACCACTGAGCCACCTTCCCAGCCCCAATTTCATAGATGTTTAACTGAAGTTCACACAATTTTTCCTCGTTATCTTATTTTCAAGTAAAAAGGCTTTCAAATCCTAGCTTCTCAGGAGACTGAGAATTGAGGATCATGGTTCAAAGCCAGCCCAGGCAGGAAAGTCTGTGAGACTTTCATCTCTAATTAAGCGCCAGAAAACCAAAAGTGGAGCTGTGGCTGAAAGCGGTAGAGTGCTCACCTATCAGGGACAGCGCTCAGGTCCAAGCCCTACAACCGGCAAAAAAAATAAACAAACATAAATAGCACCTGGGGAAAATTAAATGAGTATTTATTCAGGGGGGCAGTCAGATGCAAGTGGCTCCTCACACAGCAGTTGGAAAGAATACAGAAAGAAAGAAAGAAAGAAAGAAAGAAAGAAAGAAAGAAAGAAAGAAAGAAAGAAAGAAAGAAAG